ACACAAACGCACGCTGGGTCTCCATATTTCAAGGAAAAGTATGAAAAGCACGCTAAAAGCATTGTCTAGTGCAGCTGATGGGAGGGTAGATGGGAGGGTTTTTCAAGGAAAAATCTTAGTTAGAAATGATGTTTTTGCTGGAGTTCAACAGATTTGTAGGATCTGAGATGGCAAGGAAAGAAGAGTGATGTGGCAGAAAGACTGGGAAAAGCCTGGCCCAAGGCAGAATGCAGGGTGTGTGCTGAGATTGGAACCTTGGTCTAAAAAGGTTCTAGTGCAAAGGAAAAAAATATCATCACTTAGACTGAGATCAGGTTGTGGGGGGGGGCTTTAAACAGGATGGCCTCTCTGTATGTAATAGGAAACTGCCAAGGATTCTCAATAGGAGTTTCCTGGATCTAATCTTAGTGGTAGTGTGAATGCAGAGAAGTGCAAATTTAAGAAGGGGACGTCAGGCAAGAGGTTGTTGGAATCCTGGAATCTGCCCTCTTATTATCATAAACTCTTTGTGAGGACAGAGTCATGTACTTTGTTTTTATTACCTTACTCATATGGCTTGGCATGTGCAGAAAAATAACTTGACTGACAAATGAATGATTTCAGAAAAAGATGATGAAGACCTGAGTAGAATGGGGAGAAGGAGACTGAACATCAGAGGTACATCTTGGAAATAAGGCTCTAAAATATTGAATCTTGTTGAGCAGAATGATAGTAGTCCTATTAATTAAAATAAGGAGCTCAGGCAACTCTAATGATAGTGACAGGAGGGCTAGTCAGGAGGCATTGGGAAATGGGGATTATTGTTTCAGAAGGAGTAGATGTTCAGATTTGGAATTTATCAATTTTAAACTAGTGAATGAAGAGAGAGAAGTGGATAATACCCATTAGAGAGTGTTTCAGAGAAGATCCCAGGATAAAATTTTATGGGAAAACAAAGACTTTGGGGAGTAGAAAAGTAAGAGGCAGCAAAAAGCCAAGAGCAGCAGCCAGAAACTGAAGAGAACCAGGAGCCTGTATTGTCCAGGAGGCCAGGAGAACACATAGGGATGGTAAAATGCATTAAAATGCATTGGGTGCTATGCAGAGGACTGCGGGGTGAGAGGCAGCAGTGGTAGTTTTCAGGTCACTGGTGACTTCCTTAGATTCTTTTTTTAGCTGTCTGGTTGTGGAAACTAGATAAGAATGAGTTGTGTAATTGGAGAAACTAAATGTGAGTTATTTTGAGAAATTCAGTGGTAAAAATTAGGTTGCTGGGGCAGTTATCTTGCTTTAGGGGTAGGCTGTTAGAGGAGTAAGAAAGGGAGCCTGTGCAAGGTATTTAATCACAGGTATGTCAGTACCAAATCTGGAACTAGGTGTTACTGTCTACATACTGAAGCCTCTGAAAGATTCTGAAAGCTTGGGGTTTGCAGGCTCACATCCCTTTCTGATCGGGGAGAATGGCATGGTGCAGAGCTTCTTAGGCATCTGTTAAAGCTCCAGTTTAAGGAAACATTTAATCTCCAGTTTTATGGGCTGAACCTTTTGCTAAGTGTAATGAAAAATGAATTAACTAGGAAAATTACCATTTTCTTGGGTATTGTGGCAATGTCAGATGAATATAAAAGTTTTTAAACACTTGCTTTCCATTTCTAAATCTCTTTTGTGAATGTTTTCAGGTTATTGGTCTTGCTCTGAGTAGTACCAGTATAGTGGTGAGGGGAGTAAGAGATTAAGCTATGTTTCACAAGTGGCCCTCTGACTTTCTAGGTGGGCAAATAAGTTTAGTTTAGGATCACCCAAGATCACCTGTTGGAGTACAGGAGTTGTGTATTCCAAAACTTTGAAAAACAAAAACTGTACTTTTACAAACTCCCAAGTAAATTGTAAAGAATAAATAGTCTTGAGTAAGATGTTTGCTCTTTTTCTCCTGTTAGTACTTAAAAACTATTTGAGATAAAGAAAAATGTTTAAGTATGTAACTACTAAAAATGTGAGAACTATTATCAGTAGGCTAAATATGGGAAGAGCATTATGAGAAAATGTTAATGCTGTCCTATGTTAAGATACCATAAATGTTAAGTGGAAAGTCTTAAATTACATTTTGCTATGATGATAACTGTAAAGATTATGCATACTTATTTTATCATGACTTTTTTATTATAAGTGATTGAAATGCAACTCAAACTCGCTTCAGCACAAAGTGGGCATTTACTAGTCTATGAAGAAGTGAGGGATGGGCAGAGTAGAGTAGGCTTTCATTGAGTCCACAAGGACCTGCACTCAAGGTGAGAACTGCTCCATTTTGAAGGTCAGGTAGAGGAGTTCCTTAGTATGAGAAAACTTGTGTTGATTCTGAGGTCAGAAAAGGTAAACTGTTCCCAGCTTTCACAGCTATTCAGGTGCAGCAGTCGTTTGAACTTAGGATTCCCCAGGTTTAACCATTACACAGCTTCTGCTACTCCACCCTATGGAATACATAAGGCTTCTGAACCCACAAGATTTCCGAAGTAGGGAAATCGTTATTTAAATGTGACATTTTAGAATAGATCTTTTCCTTTCAGTTTCAAAGGATTTAAATTGAAGAATTAGCTTCATGCTAATTAACATTCAGCTGCTATTTATAATTTGTTACTGCATCTCAATCATTTTCAAAAGGGACTGATTTATTTTCAGTCTCCCTACTTTGGGCAATATTGAAGAACAATATGAATCATTCTATTAAAACTAATAGCACCAAATAGCAAAGTAGTGGAAATGGCTGTCTTCCTTGATTCTGTGTTGTAACTAGAGATTAAACATTTATGGTTTAATCTAGTTTGAATAATAGTACCCATTTCTTTAGGGTATAAATATTTAACTCCTTTCTAAGCGAACTAATACCATGTAACAAAATTTCCAAAACTGTTTAAAAAACAAAACTAAAAAAAACCCTCCAGGTCAGATTCCATTAAACAATATCTGGAGAGGAATTTTTGCAGTTGTGTTTTCAGATTTTTTAAAAATTTATTTTTATCCTTCATTGCCGGAAACATAGGCTAAACAGAAATAGGTCACAGATAATTTGTGAGTAATTTTTGTATATTGACTTTTTAGCAATGATCTTGATGTAGGTTAAGTTTCTGGAGAGTTGAAGTGACGTGAGAATGTGTAATGTACCCTTACTTCTTGGAAGGGAGTACAAAGGCTTTGAGTATGCCTAACACATATTTAGTACACAAACTTCAAGTGAAAAACAGCACAAATTCTTTTTGATTTTTTTTTTTTTTCTTCAGTTCTGGGTCTAAAGAAGCCTAGGTTTTATTATTTGCTACAACAGATTTTCTTCAAATAAAATGCATTGGCAAGGCAACAGGTAAGTAACCCAGTGTTTGACTGGGAAATGTATCTCTGAACTTCTTATTGTTATCTTTTGTGGATGTAAATAAGATAACTGGTTTGGCACTGATAAAAAATATGTACAATTATATCTGTTTTTTATTTGGCAGTTTTTCTTATAATCTTTACCATCTCAAGTGGAAGTTCAAACGGATTGCATTTTTGTAGTAAAAAGTCTTTATTTCCAAAATGATTAGCCAGAAAAACTATAAACCAACTAACAGAAGACTTTGGTAAGAAAGAGATTTGACACTTTTTATAAATTCCCCAATGCAAACAAAAAACACTTGTGTAGAGAAGCATGTTACCTGTTCTTAGCCATTAACCAATTACCTGATTTTAAATCTTCAAAATCAAGACTAAAAATGTACCCAACAGGGACCAAATAAGAACATGAGACACTAGGGCAGCTTGTCTTAGAGTTACTTAGGCATCACCATCTTAGAGAACTTTGAATATCAAGATAGCTAGATGTTGCAAAAGTGGGCAGATTCTATAGCAGGACTTTGTTGTTGTTGCCCAAAGTGGAAAATTAAACCTCCTATTTTTTTTTTTTTTTAAATATTATGCTCCTTTGGGGGAAGAGAGCAATTCATTGAAGAATTTTTAAAAAATAATGTTGGAAACAACTCAAAACTCCAGAGTAACTCAGGGATGTAATAGCCCCTTCAGATAGAGTAAAACCCATATCTTACTGAAAACGATTGATTTGGATAACAATTGTTAAAGTATCCAACCATTTGCACATTTAGTTAGCTTAAAAACACAAACAACAGACCCAATGAGTTTTTTATTGAATAGTCTCTCTTGTGTTAAAAGAAAATACATATTTCAGGGCTATAGCATATATGTGTTGTTTGAAATATCCTGAAGTATTTAATGCAAATTCTTAAAAGTAGCATATCCAAAGCATTGTATGCATCTCGCCCATGGTATATATTTGGATTAAGCAGTAATAAAAAAAGGCCTGCAAAAGAAGTGAAACTATAGTTTTAACAATAAATGCATGAGCAAAAACTGTCAGTGGGCTCAACTGAGAAAATAGTGCGTTTACACTAATCATTGGTAGTCAGTCTCCCTGAATTTGGTGTGCTTATAATGGCTTAGAAGGGAGTAGATTTCTCATATCCATGAGAACCAGAGCCCTGGTGTAGAAAGCTGACACAGGCTTATCTTTGTACCAGAATTTCAGCTTGATTCCATAATATTTTTTTCTCTAGATTTTGTCTTAAGTCTTTTTCTCTCTCTATATAAAATTTTATGACTAAAAAATAACTTAGGTTCAGAGATGGTAGTTTTGTTGAAGAAATGATATGGGGGCCTTTGGGCAGACTTAGTAAAATGTTGGTATAACTAAAATGTTTTCTTTTTAGAAACTGATTTGAAAACTTCAAAGTCTGGATAGATATATAGGAAGATTTGAAAACTCAAGGCTTGGAACTGGCAGGAAAATTTGGGTGCCTTGGCCTTGCTTCCAATAAGGATCTTTTATCAAAGCATTCATAAAGCTAGCTTCCTTAGGAGAATTATGATACCAAAACCCAAAGCAAAACCAAGGGAAGACAACTTTCTATACCCATACCCTTCAACACTGATGTAAGAACTGGTTCCATTTAAATACAACAGTCATCATTTTCATCCTTTGGGGTATCAGGAGCCAATATTAGGAGGCAAGGTAAATGTACATAGAGTTTCTTAGTGTATGAATAAAAGCTACTCATATCAGTTCTCCTTCGGACCATTTTCCCCCAAGAACTTATAATGACTGAGTAGACTTAACAAGAGACTTAAAGTTCCACTAAATGAAGAGAGATAGGCAAATGGAAGTTTTCTGCAAGAATGAACAGGTCAAAGATAAGAAAGAGGGGAATCTGTTCTTTTCATCTGACAGGTGTGTTTACTACTTGCTGCACCCTGGCACCCAGGCACACAGTCATTTCCAGACACAGTTCCCCCTCCATGTGGAGGAGGCCAGGGTCTCTGTCCTGCCTGGCCAGGTGGATGCTCCAGAGGAACATGCTTCAGTTTAGTACAAGGCAACTGACACTAATTTCTCTGTAGGAAGAGGGCCAAACATAATTGAGGGAGCCCCACATGGCCTGTACCCACCAAAAAGTATCCACAAAGGACATCCCTGGTATCCACAAGACTATTGGGCAAACAACACTGCAAAAATGAAAACTAAACAAGCAAACAGTCCAACCATTGGTGACTCTGGAATCTCGAGTGCAGCCCTGGGAAACTTGTATCCCTGCTAACAAGGGTGAACGTTGCATGCTCTGATCTCCTTCTTGTCTTTGCAGCTGGTAAACTGGGAGCTTTTGAACCTCTTCTTCACAGTCATGTAGCGTTCTTGAATCCCACCTCCACACAGTTTGGTGCATTCTGACCAGGCTGTCCATGGGCGCATCCTACAGCCTGGAAACATGAGAATGCCTGGTTAGATCAGGAGAATTGGAGTGCTGACCTGAAGAATTCATTTGTCTGGACTCCTTCTCTGCTTCTATATCTAATGATTTGTGGAATTAACTAATTGTTAGAGTCTTCATTAGGGACTATTCACTCATATGTGATAGATTACAAAACAAACAATCAAAACCATTCATGCTTTTTGGTTCTTCTGTGAAGGGGCAGAGTTCAGTTCTTTACCCTTTGAATCTGAGCTTGGCAACGTGACTTGCTTTGACCAGTGGCTATCTTCCTAGGAGGATTATGGCACCAAAACACCAAACCAAACCAAGGGAAAACTGCTTTTTGCATACTCAGTAACTTTGATCTGTGGTATAAGCACTGGTTACATTTAAGCAAAGCAGCCCATCAATTGAAACAGCTTGAGAAAAGTTGCTAAGAACCTTTCCACCACTGTTTGAATCTGGATAAACCTATGGGAGAAACCATGTAGAGAAAGGCCCAGCTATCCCTTGATGCCCCAGAAAATCAGTTGAGGCCTGTATGGCCCATGTAGCTCTTTGATTGTGGCCACATGAATGAGAATGAACACAAGCTAGACCTCAGAAGAATAATCCAGCTGAATGAGCTCAAGTCACTGACCTGCAGCATCATGTTAATAAATGATCTTTTAAAAAGCTGCTATTTGGGGGGCTGTGGCTGTGGCTCAGTGGTAGAGCACTTGCCTAGTATGTGTGAGGCGCTGGGTTTGATTCTCAGCACCACATATAAATAAATAAAGGTCCATTGACAGCTAATTTTTTTTTAAAATGCAAAAGTGAAAACTAAACAAGCAAACAGTCCAACCATTGGTGACTCTGGAGTTGCTTGTGAGGCAGCAACCACTCAAAGAGCACAAAACAATTCTTTGTATGTCTTGTTCCCTAAGTTTAACCTCCCAAATACTAACTAAAGAACAATTACTTGCTTTTTCTACTTAGAGTAAACTTGCCTTTCTCAAATAAATTTTCTTAACCCCTAGAGATCAGATTTTTTGTTTTCATGCTTCCACAGCTCACTATCTACCCTACTTCGAACCCATCACATTTATGATCATGCATTAGATATCTGTTTACCATACTATGGTTAAGTTTCATGGTGAAACTAAGAGCCTAGCATATAGATGGCTTTAATGAATGTTGATTGGTTGACCATGTGCAATAGGTATCTTAATGTGTGAACAGCTCCCTAAAGATAAGACAGTGTACTGGTAGCTTCTCACATCTGTACACCTCTTTCATCATCATCTCAGGTAGAGGTAAAGCGCCCCTCCCCCTTACTGGGGATTGAACTCCCATGGGCACACTACCACTGAGCCACATCTCTAGCCCCTCCTATCCTTTAATTTGTTCTAAAATTTGAAACAGGGTCTTGCCAAGTTGCCCTGGCTGGCCTTGAATTTTCAATCCTGCTTCAGTCTCCTGAGTAGCTTGGGATCATAGCCTTGTGCCACCATGCCTGGCATGAGGTAGAGTATCTTACGGAAGCATAAAGGGGTCATTTGAGCTGCACCTTTAAAAATAATTAGAAATGGCTTGACAAATTGGTCTTAACTTTTTTGTAGGTACCTTCCTCACCCTTCCAGGGAATCCAAAGAAACACTATCAGTCTGTGCCCAAGGCTTAATTGTGGATCTTCCCAACTCACTGTCTCATTGGTTTGTGAGGGGTATTGCTCTCTTAGCTTGGGTTAGTTTATTCAGCAGTGCAGCCCCAGGCAGGGATTATTTATTTATTTATTTTAAGTCCTAGAACTCCCTCAAGTTATGCTGGAGGAGGACCTATACTCTTTTTTTTTTTTTTTTTTTTTTTTTCTGCTGGGCTACAAGCAAAACTTAATAACTGGTTTCTGTGCTTCTGTTTTTGCCTCTTCCAAATGACCCAACACAGGTCTGTTAAAATCACTCTTGCTTGAGACCTTCACCTAGAAAATCAAGTTCCAAATCCTCAGTCAGCAACTGGCCTTTTATGGTCTGGCTTTCTTCAGTCTGGTTTCCTGCCTCCCTTCCTCGTCCTCTGCTCCATCTGTATACCATCTGTTGCTTGAATATATACTCTTGGGTATCTCTGTGCCTTGGCAGTTGCTATTTCTGCTGGCTGGAATACGTTTCTTGAACTGGCAAACTTCACATTCTTCAAGGCCCAGTCTTAATTTTCCCAGCTTTGGCTTCACCCTAAATTCAAGTCAGTGTAAGATGCTTATTTCTGGCCCCATTAGCAGTTGGTTCATTGTTCCTTTGGAGCATTTATCACTTATTTATCATGGCAGCCTTGATCCATGGTATTTGAAGAAATAAAACTTAAGGCTGACATACTGCTGCTAAACTTGGTGGTTAACCTTGAAAAAAATAAATCAAGGAGCCATAGGCTGGGGCTGTCTTGGCTGAACCACACCCTTAAAATGGGTAACATTCCAAGAGGTCCTGGAAAACATTTCCTAAATAAGGATCAAGACTTCTGACAAACCTATGCCATTATTTCACCCCTTTGGAAGAAACAAATGGGGTTAGCAAGTTATAAATGTGATTTTGAGCAAGGTTCGACAAGACTTCTGGTTTTTATATATGCAGAGGAAGGAATTATACAATTTCTAAAGGCTTGTTCTTTGAAAATTTATATTTGGCAGATTATCATTACATTTCTAAAACTTTCCTTGGTAAAGACCCCTCCTAAATTATGATTTTTTTCTCAAATATTCATGTAAATAATATGTATCTAAAAAGTCAATGAAATCTTTCCCCCATTCTTTTTTTGAGCTGCACACTGGCAAGTGTATGTACCTGGAAACTGCTCCCCGTCAGACTCTTCCCTCAGCTGCCCGCTCCTCCGGCTCTCTCGAGCCTCTCTCCAGCGCAGCTTCTGGATGGATGGATTTCGAATGCATTTCCGGATGCGGCACTTCTTTCGCTGTATAGTTTCTGGGCAAGGTGCGCCTCCAAACTGAGGTTCCATTTGGATCATCCGGGTTCGAATCATGTGGCCTTTCCCACATGACTTGTTACATTCTGACCACTGGGACCACTCAGTGAGTTCACAATCAATGGCTGACAAGACACAGATGGGCATGAGTGTATCTCACATCTGAAACAAGATATGGTCACTTATACTTGTTTGAAGTCTTACCAAGCCTATAGATTGTACCAAGCCTAAAAATGTGTGTACAAAAGGAATAGGCTCCATGAAGCAGAATGACATTATCCATCCCACATGGTCAGTAAATAGAGGCAGGATTGGTGCCAGGTCATGACCCACATTCTGTATCTTGTTTTTGACTCAAGAAGGTGTTGAGGGACTTTAAAGGTATGTTCAGAACCTCTTGCCCTGCTGCATAAGCTTCTAGAATATTGTTCAGTCAGCCTAAAGTGGCACAGACCAACCTCCCACAGTCTGCAAGGACTCAGAATTTCTTAAGGAAGACATAATTTACTGGTGGTGTTTCTTGGAGCAAGGCTGCCTCCCTGGGAAGAACAAGTCAACAAGATAACTGGTGGCTTGACCCCTGGGGACCAATACAAAGGAAGGAATAGTGGCTTTCTTAAGACCCAGGCAGCTTTTCTAGTTTTCAGCATCATTCCGTGTCCTATATATGGTGGTCTATGCAAAAAATACAGGAGTCAGAAATGGGAAATTCAGCAGAGGGTCAATAGCAAGTGCTATTTTATGGTTTATCATAGTGCAAGATCCAGCAAATTCTTTGGGCAGCACCTCATGAATGTAAAGGGGGAATAACAGTGATCTGATTTGCAGGATGTGTTGTAGGAGGCAAATGATTCCACACTCTATTGGCTTTGCAGAATGAGAGCTAGGCTGGATCTAGGAAATACTCATTTTGTTAAGTAGTTTCAGGCCTTTTCACCTGCGGGAGCTCAGGAAGCTTTCTTAGCTGTAAACGGGGATGATGGTGTTTTTCTCTCTTAGGTTGTGAGGATTAAAGGAGACAATGCTCCCAGTTAACAAAGTTCTACGTAAGTGTTTCCACCACCCTTTCTCCGTTGGGCCTTATGAAGACTTGTTTCAGTTGTAACTGTCCCTGTCAAAAGGGTGTGGGGCCCTAACCTGATGAGCTGGGTTGACTTATCAGGCCAATTGTAGTTATTTTAAACATCATACTTTATTTGGTTGATGGTGCAGGTTATCCATACATGTGATCCAGTCTAGCTAAAACAGCTCAGGAACTATCATAGATCATCAGTTGATGTCTGCACACTTTGTGCTGGTTACTGGGTTTATTCCTCAGAGCAACCTAGGAAGTATTTCCTGATCATACAGATCAGGATACTGAGGAACAGGGATGTTAAGCAGTCTGCTGAAGGTTAGGCAACCAGTAAGGACAGAGCTGGGATTTGAACCTGAGTACTAGAAAGGGGAGGAGACTTGACAGACTGCCAGTGCATACTAGAGGAAGCCAGAAAACATCAGAGCAAGCAAAGTGTGCTTGCCCTTTTATCACCTAAGAGAGCAGCTGTCGTGGAAAGCTGGCCAGAAAAACTCCACAAATCTCTCTTCTTGGGAGATTTGTCCCCGTGTCATAAAAACAGCTGACTATAGATTTTGGAGGAGATGGGGGTAGATAGCACGTTTTAGAGAACTTGGCTTGTTTTCTTGCTGTCTTTTACCAGGCTGCTAGAGTCATTGATTTAGTGTCTGGTTCAAAGGGTTCAAAAATAGTCATAGGGAGGAAGAGCAGGATGAAATAGCTCAGAAAATTCATGGATCAGAGAAGTCCATAATTGGAGATGGGACGAGGAGAAGAAGTGAGTGTGTTTTATATACATGTCTCCCATTTAGACATCATAACCACTTGCAGTTTTTGGTAATGAGAGTGACTTAAGTGTTACATAACTATGCCAAGACAGACCCAAACCCTACTTTTAACTCCCCATCAAATCATTTACTATAGATTCTAGCGGCATGATCACAGCACTGACCTTGTTCAGACTTCTCTGGATTCTGGAACTTAGGAGGGGAAGGGGGAGGGGTTTCCAGGACCCAGGACTTACGGCACTCTGGCAGCATGCACTTCTCCACCTGCTCCAGTTCCTCGTTGCAGTCTCCAAGTTCCGCAAGAGATTTGAGCATCCGCTGGCGGGTCCGCATGCCCTTCCCACAGGTCACGCTGCAGTCACTCCACTCAGACCATGGAGACAACAGGCATGGGATGGTGTCTAGGTGAAGAGTCAGGTTTTCCACTGAGAACAGTTTTCTTTGATCTTGGCCTCACAATGCCCCAACCCTGTCCCTTGCTGTGGCCCCTGGAGTAAAATGGAATTGTGAATCCCTGGAGCAAGAAGTGGCTCTGCACTCTACTGTCCTTCTTGATACTTTCCTGCATCTCCTGTGGCCCAGCTGTTGTTCATGACCAGACATCAGATGAGGTCAGTGATGTGAGCTTACAAGTTCCCACTTGAAACAGCACTGAAGTTCTGAGTAGGATCTTACTAGAGATAAAACATTCCACATCCAAGAATTATGCACTAAAGGATAGGCTCAATACTGCATTTTTGGACTTTGATACTGAAATCTCTAGGGTGCGTATCTACTTGAGTGTGTGTTTACCTTGTGTGTTGATGTGTGGGTCTAATGCATTTTTGCATGGAGCAAGAATGGAGACCGGGCTTGGGGAGTGCATGCCTTGCCTAAATTATTATTCTTCCCTGCTGCCCCAAGAAAGATGCTTCTGTGAAAGAACTACAGAATTCTATCCAAAAGCCACCAGTTTGCCGTTCTAGCATTGCTTAGAATATCCACCAAAAAAGGCCAGTCTCTGGGTCTGGCTCTCATCTTACTCCTGGCAGCACCCTACAAAGGTGTTGGGCCATGCTTTCCCCCTGTGCTTGTCACCTCTGACCTTGATGTGGTTGTAAGGAGTGCTCTGGTATTCCACCTCCCATTCTGGGTCCTCTGCCCAGTGCCCTCCCCACACCCACTCACGGCACTCGGGCATCATGCATTTCTCCACTTGGGATGTCTCAGCCTTGCACATGGAGCCATCTGCTGGGCTCATCTTGACCATGCGGTGCCGCTTCTTCATGCCCATCCCACAGGTGGCACTGCACTCATCCCATTCACCCCACTCGGTCATCAGGCAACTGCTGGGAGCTGGGTAGTACAACAGAGTTGGAGTCATGCCAGTGGCTTCTGGGTCTGCTTGCTCGTGCCCATCCTCCCTCTGTGGCTCCCCAACTCACAGCACTCCTCGTTGACTGTGCACTTCTCTGTCTCCTCGGTGGGCAGTGTGCACACAGAGCCGTCCTCTGGAAACTGCTTCACATACCTCTCTCGGGACCGCATGCCCATGCCACAGGAGATGCTGCAGGGGGACCAGGTGATCCACTCGGACATGGTGCAAGTGGAGCCATCTGCAATATGCCAAAGTGTGCAGGAAGCTCAGCGTGTGTGGTGGGTAGGGGCAGGAGTTGGCTGGGGACCTTGCCATGGGAACTTCTCACCAGCAAGAATCCAGAAAGGAACCACTGGCATTCAAGGTTTGTTAGGTAGTGGAGGAGAGAATATAAAAGGTCTAAATCTAAACCCAGAATTGTTCTCTAAGAGTAAATATCCCTTTTACAGGTATGTGGGGCTCTCAAAATTACTCTTAATCCTGTGAAAACAATTAAAAGATGCTTGAATGGATAGAATGGTGATAATGCATATGCGCACACTAGTGTTTATATAACTCATTACATTTGTGTGGACACAATTTATATTTATGGATACTTTAAAAATGCTTAAATTTAATGCTTAAATTCTAGACTGTATACACACAAATGCATATATAATATAAATGTACATATAATTTAGTGTACATATTTAAGTCATAGTTCATTTATAGTCTAAAATGTGTCCATACATCTAACACCAGTAAATAAAAATCCATGTCTTTAGCCTCTAATCACATCAAATGCTCAGTTGCCATGTGTGCCTGGTGGCTACTGTATTGGACAGTGTGGATATAGAACATTTCTACCATCATGGAAAGTTCTTTTGGACAGCACTGGAAGAAATGATTCATTCTGAGATATGGTATAAGCACTTTTGTTCAGAGGAAATGGAAACTTTAATTATTGTCTAAAGCTATGAGTTCTAGAAAACCAGAGGAAGGAACTTTGTTCTGAGGATAGCGTGGTGGGCTATGAGACACAGGGCTGATCTGTGCCCAAAGAGCAAATTACAGCAACTGAACAGACATCTCAATGCCCCTGTTGAGGATGGTAATAAAAAAGACAATACCCCAGCTGCTGACCAGGTGGGGGACCAGGGGTCATGTCTGAATGCCAGGAGAGAGGAACAGAGGAAGGCTGAGGAAAATAATATAAGCTGCTTATTTCTAAAGAGGAAAATGAAGTCATTTGGCCATCCATCCATCCACTCACACATTTGTTCATGAAGATTTAATGAATGCTTAGTGGTATGATATTGTCCTATGAGAGAATGGCGGTAGGGGTGGAGACGGATACATAATTTGACAGTAATTCCAGGTATTGAAAATGGAACAAGAGAAGCCTAGGGAATGGGGCAGCACAGAGGAGGGAACATTTGCTCTGTCTTTGAGTTGTGGGTTAAATTTCATATCAGAAAGCACATCTGAGAACACTTTTGTTGAGTAGAGGATATTTGCATTTGAGGGGCTGGCTTCTGCAAACACCCCTTTATAGAGACTGTATGTGTGTGTGTGTGTGTGTGTGTGTGTGTGTGTGTGTGAGAGAGAGAGAGAGAAAGAGAAAGGAGAACTAAGGTCCAAGTGTGCAAAGTTTGCAGCCAGCCTGTGCCCGTCCACAGACTGTCAACTTGCACATACATGGTGTCTGACATTGTTATTTAGCTCATGGACTGTGGCTAGACAGTGTTGATGATGCACAGAAACCCCATACACTGGACCTAACTAAAGACAGCAGGTACAACCAATTAGGTAATTATATTCTGGTGTTATACAGTTGCGGGTATAGGACTTGACAAGCCATAATTCAGTCTTACCATGGCCTGGCAAGACATTGCCTTGGACAGGGTGAATATGGTTACTGACAACTTGAGTGTGTTCTGAGAGGACATGCTGGAGCTCAAGAAGCTCCCATCTTCAAGTACCCACCTCCACAGAGTCCTTAGGTGCCTTTACTGAAAAGGTGCCTTTCAGTACTGCAGTGTAATGTTGATTGTGTCAGATGTGTGTGCTTGTTTTTAACCATGCTTTTACCCTGGTTCTCTGTAGGACCATTTCACCAATAAATTAAGCCAAGGAGTTTGCACATGAGCAACAGGACTCATCTTAATTTGCAAAAGATCCCTCAAATGGTCCCTTGGAAGATGTATGAAAGTAGGGAGAGATGTCAAAGGCTAGGCTAAATGGCTTGGTCCGGATCATTAGGAAGAAACTTGATGAAGATGCAGTTGCTATAATATAATGATGTACATTCATCTTATAAAAATAATTTTTAAAGAATGTTCAAAGGAATCTCTTCTTCCTCCCCATTTAAACCATTTCCCTTAAATAATTCAGTGTAGAAGGGATGTGGGTATAAGGAGTTGCTACTAGTGTGCATACACCCCAGGTACAAAGAACAGACCCAGCCCAGAACTGTCATTACCTGCTGGGAATCACCTGAACTGGTATAAGGATAGACTCTTTGTGGAGCAGGAGATTAAAGGCCTCAATTTTCACTGTAGCCCTCAGCTCCACAGCCCTAAGAAAGCACCTTCAACATTAATCTGTCAGTCACATTCTTCCCCTGTTTGTAGGAATGACCTCTCTATGGCAAGGTTTGTTCACCTCCAAAGTGCCTTATTTTGGGCAAAAACTAGTTAGCAATAAACCATATGTGAGTGCAGTCCAGAGAGGTATTTAAGGACAGGCATTTAAGCCTGTAGCCAAGAAGAGCTGGGGAGTGAATGATTGTAGGGGGTAAGGTTTCTTTTCCTCTGCGTGGAAGTGGCTTTCTTCCTGCTGTGCACCATAGCTTGTATGTGTCTTCCTGCAGCCTCACTGCACCTCTGAGAGAATAAGATGAGAGCGAGAATATAGGTCTATCAAGGCAGAGAGGAGTCATGCCCTGGGAAGCAGGCAGTCAACCTTTGCACAGCAATCAGCTTTGTGCAGTCTTGAAGTCTGATCGTGACATAGGTGTTGCAAGCTTGTAGTTCAAGCCTGACCTTTAAGCAATTGTAGATAGACTGAGAAGATCCTGACAGGATGCGAATGCTTGGGTTGAGGTGGAATACTGATGAGGGGTCATGAATGACAGAATTAGGGCAGTGCACCTGGATTCCATCTTGATCAACCTGTTCATGGACTCCATTGGGGAGTTAAGATCCAGAATCAGGCTACGGTTATTTGTAATTTGTCATAAGACACATCTGTCTGTTTGCTTTGCAGTCAAGTGTATGCATGCACTGTTCCATGGCTGGGGAGGGAAGAGGGTAGTCATGCAACCTCTAGAATTCTGGGCTGGGGTTGTGGCTCAGGGGCAGAGCACTCACTTAACACAAACGAGGCCCTGGGTTTGATCCTCAGCACTACATAAAAATAAAATAAAGATATTGTGTCCGTCTACAACTAAAAATATTTTTTAAAAAAGAATTCTTCTGGTGTCATAAGACATTCTAGACTCAGAGCCCTGAAGGCATTGTTGCAGAAGTGGGTATGCAGTATAGTCAGGGTCCTACTGCCCCCTTCAGGGCCACTGCCTGCCTGGGTGGAGGGGGCCTGTGTTGCCAGGCAGACCTCTCTTCTTGAGCTTCTGCCCACTGGTCTGGGTTGTCTCCTTACCTTCATCACTGCAGCCCGGGCCCATGCAGGGCTGGAAGTCCTGGGTGTCAGGGCAGGGGACACTGAGGTCCAGCTGTGCCTTCAACATTCGCTGCCGCATCCTCTTGCCTTTGTCACAGGTGGAGGAGCTGCAGGCGGACCACGGGGACCAGTTGGAGTAGATGCAGGTTTCAGGAGTATCATCTGGAAAGAGTGGTTGAGATGTTTTCCCTGGAGCCTGTGGAAGCTGCAGCAGGCCTTCTCGCCAGAGAAGCTCATCTGCAGGCAGGAGAAGCCCTGCTGTCCACCCAGCCTTCATGGCAGGGATGGCAGCAGCCATTCCCTTGTCTTTAAAAATCGAATTTCAACATCTTGCTAGTAAATATCCAAATGATAGGAACACTTCTCTTTTTTATCTCTTCCTCTCAACACATGCACATCTTTTCATTACCAGTCCCTCACCTTGGCAGAAGTTGTTTTCCAACTCATGTAGGCATTTCATAGACAGTTTTTGGAAAGTACAGATTTTATTTGTTTCAGCTTCATCTTCCCAATGTCTGCTAAACACAGTTTAAACATGGTTAAAAGTAAGGGCAGCTAATTTTTTTTTTGTACTTGGGATTGAACTCAGGGGCACTCAACCACTGAGCCACATCCTTAGCCCTATTTTGTATTTTATTTAGAGACAGGATCTCACTGAGTTGCTTAGTGCCTCAATTTTGCTGAGGCTGGCTTTGAACTCATAATCCTCCTGCCTAAGCCACTGGCATTACAGGTGTGTGTCACTGCACCCAGCTGCAGTTAATATTTGTAGAGCACTTATTATGTGCTAACCTATGTGTTTTATCCCATTTAGCCTCAGCTCTATGTTTTTATTTTTGAGACAGGATCTTACTAAATTACTTTCTGTGAGGCAGGTTCTATTATTATGCCTATTTTACAGTGAGGGAACTGAGGTAGAAAGGTGAGCCTCTTGCCCAAGGTCAGAAGGCTAATAAAAGTCTAGATTGTTCGGCTCCAGATTCCATGAGAAAACCTAGGTTCAAAGATTGGCTCTGCCACTCCCTCCTGACTATGGGACCTGGGCCTTTTTCCTTGCTGAGGAGTAGATATTCCCATGTCTACCTCCTAGGCCAGTGCAAGAATCAAGCAGAAAGTGATCTGAATATTCAAATTCCATCTTTGTGGTTATTTTAAAGGAGTGATACCATTGAATACATATTTCAATATTATACCTTCACAAATTACCTTATAATTGGTGGCTAATTTTAGCCTTGCTTTTTGCTTTTTTTTTTTTTTTTGTGGAGAGGGGTGCTGGGGATGGAACCCTGGGCCTGGTGTGGGCTAAGCATGCACTCTGTCACTGAGCTACACCCCAGCCCCTGATTATTTCTTAAGGAGAAATCCTCAGAGATGGGATAACCAGGTCAAAGGATATGGCTGTTTTTATTTTTTATGGTACTGGGATTGAACCCAGGGTACTCTATCACTGAGCTGTCATCTCAGACCTTTTTATTTAGTTTTTTGTTTTTGATATAGGGTCTTACTAAGTTACCCAGGCTGATCTGGAACTTGCAATTTTCGTGCCTCAGCTTCCTGAGTTGCTGGGATTGCAGCCATACTTCACCATGCTCCTCTGTGTTTATAGTTCTTAAACCATGTTAGCAAGTTGCTTTCTCAATGGCACATGCCATTTGTATTGCTACTTACAACATAGGAGAATAACCTACCTTCATCTTTCTCTTCTGGAGCCAGGTCTGCTACAATATCGTCAACATTATCAGGCACAATATTGCATTGTTCCCCCTGCAAAAGGAATTTTATTTGGAGGGCTCACATTAGAGAAAGAAGGGAATGTGCAGGGGACAGATGAAGGAGGACATAAAATTGAATGCCCACTCTGTACCAGTCCTATCCATGGTAGAGTTCTAGGTCAAATTTTATAACTTGACTGAAAAAGAAGTGCACAAAAGCAGAGTTGGCAAAGGAAGAATTCTGACCAGGGCAGACATGAGTAATCAACTGTGGGAATCATGATGAAACCTATCCACCTGGATCAAATCATTCATTTGGGCACTAGGCGTAACTACTGAGTTCATTTTGCTCATTTACATCTTATTAAATAATTTGCATACTGAAACACTTGAAAGCTCAGGAGTTCCAGGCACCCCCAAAATTCTAGAGCAGAAAGGTGTTGGGTTTCCTTGGCTATGCTGGTGGGCTCAAACCCATTACCTTCCGAGCGATTCTCTCAATAACAACTCTGGCTACTTGAGTGATGGACCCTCCCTCTGGGTCGTAGAAAGGACTCTGAGGATGGTCCAGACTGGTCAGGGGCCGGATTTTCTCCTGTGGAATTGTGGGTTTGTTTGGTGACTGTAGAAAAAACACAGATACAGAAAGGGGAAGTAAAAAAAAAAAAAACCACAAAGCAAATTGTTTATATGGAACAGAAGAAAAACTCTGATAGGAATTTTAAACAAATGTAACAGTAGCTATGGAATTCCATTCATGCCATCTACTGTGCTTGGAAATTTGTAGATCTGTACTTCAAAATTCTTCCACGGGGATGTGGTTTACTGGTGAAGCACTTGCTTAGCATGCATGAGGCCCTGGGTTCAAACTCCAGCATCACACACACACACACACACACACACACACACACACACACACACCAGGATTGTGCCAGATGAAGAAACCAAGTTCCATCCTAGCTCAGAAATGGCTAAGCCAGTTTGGCTTGAATCCCAATCTCTTCTACTGGACCAGGCAGCAATTTTTTTTTTTTCATAACAGGTCAGATGGTAAATATTTTAGGCTTTGTGAGTCACATTGTCTGTCACAACTACTCTGCTCAGCCCTTTTAGTGAGAAAGACAATATGTAATTGGATGTGTAGCTGGCTTTGAAAACTATTTACAAATCAGGGTACAGGGTAGATTATCTCCAAACCATAGTGTGCTGATGCCTGTTCTAGATTGTTCTCCCAGTGGTTTTGTGATGGCTTCAGATTTCATTGCAGTTTGGTATGTTGACCATGTCTAAGAAATATGTGACAACCAGGCAAGAATAAACTCCTCACACTTTAAAATCTGGCCCAATCTTAAGCAAACACAACTTCCTTCAGTCTGTGTGTCTCTGCCCCTGTCCTTGGCATGCTGCCCTTGCTTACCTGTGATCTGCTCATTAGCAGATTCCCTTTCTGTGCTCTGGTCACTGCAAGGATCCTGTCCAGAGCCTGAATCATTGTGTATGTGATGATGAGACGATGTTGACCTCTCCTTCCAGACTAAGTTCTTCTAGAACAGCAGGGTCAGACTCACCCCCAGATCCAGGACACCCAAATAGGGGTGAGCCCGAGGAAGGGAATGTGCAGGGGACAGATGAAGGAGGACATAAAATTGAATGCCCACTCTGTACCAGTCCTATCCATGGTAGAGTTCTAGGTCAAATTTTATAACTTGACTGAAAAAGAAGTGCTTAGGAAGCCTGCCATTCACCACTCAGGCACACCTACCTCATAGGTCACCCCGCTGTCAGTGCCGGCGTCCCAGGGAATCAGATCTTGCACCACCTTCTGGACCCAGCCGCATTCCTTGGTGCACAGATCCTCTGCAGATAAGCCCACGTTCCAGTCGGGACTAGGGCCCATCATGGTCAGGAAGGACATTAAGTGGCGTGTCCTATCTACTGAAAATTCAGCTGACGGTGCTGCTCTCCTGGAAACCAAATACAGAGGGCTGTATATTAGGGGATAAAGGGTGCATACTCTGGGGGACATGTGGTTGGGACATGACTCGAGGACACAAGGGACAGAGGAGGCAGATTCTCTGGCCATTACTGGGTTTTGCTCTTCTGTCTTCTGAGCCCACTTCTTGGAGAAACACGAAGTGAGTGAGCCCCATGTGGTTACTCTATCTAGCTTTAATGTGTCATTCTGAGAGCTCCACTGGGCCATTGCAGGGGTCCCCATGTCTGCTGCCTCTATTCCCTTTAAGAGGCCTTCCACGGCAGGGCCGTGTCTGGCAGCAGGACACACCCAACGACTCACACCTGATTCCCTGGCCATTTTCTCCCATTGGAAGCAGGGGTCCAGTTACAGAACCATTCTCCTTTGGCTGATGACTTCCAGCTGCAGAAAATGACCTCTCAGCTCTACAGCCCCAAGGGCAGCTCTTCAACCTCCATCACCCCTGGGTTACTAAGAGGAGGTTCTAGTAGGGACTGGGCTTCATGAGATAAATGGTGGCTGCCCACTGAAAAGTCTGGGGAGGAAAAGAATCCTATTTACTTGTGGCTGACCCTTGTTATTTTATTTTCCCCTCATGACAATCTTGCGGTGTTAGAATTATTATCCTGTTCTATGGAGAGGCAATGCGAGTGAACAGAAATGAGTGAACTGGGAGACACAGGTAGCAGAGACTGAGACTTGAAGTCAGTTGGTGTCACTTTTTATACCCCTCGGCTGCTAACTGTGGGGAATCCCTGGCTGGGGACCAACTGGTATATTTAGTCCAGCTGGCAGCTGGTCCACCTCAGCTGTTCCGGAGTCTTAAAACCTTCTGTTGGTACCAGCTGCTTCTGGCGGCCCTCACCTGGCCCCAGAAAGCAATGACTCCAGATCTGGTGGGCCCTGTGGAACCCCGTCATCGGGTTCTGGCAGCCAGATGGGACCAGACAGAAAGCGTAGGAGGAGGGGAGCCTGGGTGTTCATCTTAGCTCCACTTCACACAGCTGCACCTCCTTAGGCAAATTCCCAAAACCTTTCTGTGTCTCAGTGTCCAAATCTTTAAAATGGGGATAACATATGTCAGCTCCAAAGGGTTATTATGTTAAATGAGCCAACTTGAACACAGTACTTTGCCCAGCTCCTGCCACCTGAGTCATTTTTATTGCAGGTTGAGCCCCCTTAATCTGAGAATCTAAAATCTGAACTGCTTCAAAATCTAACACTTGGAGCACTGACAGGATGTCACAGTGGAAAATTTAAACAATTAATAGAATGCGCTCAAGTTCCACCCATTTTCCCACAAATGACATTATTTCTTTCTTTTATGGTTGAATAAAACTCCGTTGTGTATATATATCACATTTTAAAAATCTATTCATCTGTTGATGGACATCTGGGCTGGTTCCATAACTTGGCTATTGTGAATTGTGCTGCTATAAACAGGGTATGCATGTGTCACTGTAGTATCCTGACTTTAACTCCTTTGGGTAGGTACTGAGGACTAGTATACCTGGGTCATATGATGGTTCCATTTCTAGTCTTTTGAGGAACCTCCACACTGATTTCCTTCCTGGCTGTACTAATGTGCCATCCCACCATGACTGTCTCATGTTCCCTTTTCCTCACATCCTTCCAGCACTTATTATTAGTCCCCACAATCTGTTTTAATAATCCCTTCTGGTGCTCTTCATGCACTTCAAGTCTCAGCTCATGAGTCACCTCTTCCAGGATCCTTTCTGATCACCTAGCTGAGGTAAGCATCCTTGGTCTATATTTCCACACGCTGTGAGGTCTCGGTAGCCAGACCCTATGATTGTAATTGCTTCTATACTGTCTGGTCACTGGGGGCTTCTTGAAGGCAGGGACCTTAAATTTCACAACTGCACCTCAGTACTTGCTCAGTGGACCACTGAACCAATGGCTATGTGATGGTTTGAGCTACTCTCCTTACTAGCTCTAGATCTCAGGCAAGTCCCACACTGTCTTTGAGTCTCAGTGTTGTCATCTAACAATACCTACATGAGGGCCAAATGAGATGCATTTCTGGGAGATTTTACAAACTGCTGAAGTACTACACTGACATAGTCTGCTATGAGGTTAGCCAGATAAAAACATCCTTTCCCTGTGTGTGCATTTTTTGGCATATGGATCAGTGGTTTCAGCAGCTGCCTTAAAGACCAGGCTTCTCCAAAGATTGTAGTCTGGGGAGCTGTGATGTTGCTCACAGAGGGATTTACAGGATGTAGTTCTGGCCTGTCCTGCAGGAACTGCCAATCAAGAGCCTTGGCATCTTACTGGGGCTGCTTTATACCCCAGTCCAACCTCCCTGTTTTCCCTATCAGGTCCCAATAGAGTAGGGACCTTCTTTTCTTGGTTATAGCATATCCCACTGCTTAGCTTAGGAGTTGGCATGCAGTGGGTTCTCTTCAAATGTTTGTTGAAATAAATGAATTAATCTTGGAGATGAATGTAGAGCTCTTGTTCTTCCTTTGACCTTCAAATTTAATTAAAAATCACTTCACAGTATTTACTACTTCTATTATAAAATTCTATTTAAAATAATGAAATGGATAAGAACCTATGTGAGTTTTCTTTAGGAAATGCCAGATTGGACTGGAGTTCTTTGTTCAAGCCATAACAAAAGTTCTTATTTATGCCTTTTTATAAACCATGTCTTCCAAGATATGATATTTTTGCTAATTCGGTTTCATTTTTCTATCTGGGAATTAAATTTGAATCCATTTTCTAGAAAACAGAGTTGATCTAGTCATACCACACACCAGAGTATATGATAAAGCATGATAATCAGAATGGTCTGATGTTCAAGATAAAATGGAAATATAAGTCAGTGGCATAGAATGGAGATTCCAGAAACTATAGGTAAGGACTTATACAAATAGGCTACTCAAGTTAGAGTGGAAGGAAATATTGTACAAGTGGGGTTGGGCTAAATTATAAAAAATATTGGTTTCATATCTAATATACCAAATAATAAAGCCTGAGTCAACAGAAAGCAACAAAATCAGAAAAAAATCCACTGTTCAAGGAAAAAAACAACAACAGATAAATGTTAAATTTCTAAATTTTGAAACTATAAAAGAAATCACAAAGAAAAAAGTTAACTACTTGAATTATACTTTAGCCAAAACATCTTTATAGTGAAAACAATAGTTCATGTTTAATATCCCTAATCCAAAAAGTTTGAAATCTGAAATGCTCCAAAATCTGAAACTTTTGAACACTGACATAACACCACAAATGGACAAATTCCACATCCAACTTCATGTGCTGGGTCACAGTCAAAATGCTGGTGCACTAAAAATACTGCATAAAATTACTTTCAGATTATGTGCATAAGGTGTATCTGAAACAGAAAAGAATTTAGTTTTGGATCCCATTTCCAAGATACCTCATTATGTATATGTAAATATTCCAAAACCTGAAAACTTAAAAAAATCCCAAATACCTCTGGTCCCAAACATTTTGGACAAGGAATTTTCAACCTGTGCCTGAATTATAGAAAAAAAAATGGTGTGTTAGCAAAATGTCTCTGTTAAGTGTAACAAACAAAGTGTTAATATTGTACAGATATAACCCAAATCTCTAAGAAAAAGACCACAACCCCAGTGAAGGAAATTTACAAACAGACAATTCACATCAGAAAAATGAGAACAGAGAAACATTTCCTCCTTTTACATTTAGAAGGTAGTGTGGTGTGCAGGGAAGAACCCCAGGGCATTGGCATGGACAGTTGGATCTGAATCTTGGTTCAGTCACTGAATTATTTGCTGACACAGCAGCCTTTATCCCACCTTTCTTTGAAGTTACTACATCTGCAAAATGGAAACACCATCATACCTATCTCAGGGTTTTATTGTGAGGAAATCACTTCTCATTGTGACTGACACATAATAGGACTTGGTAAAGGCTGATTTTCTTTTCGTGCAGTTTTTCCAAACAAAACTTCTGAAAACATCGCAAAAGAAATTAGTTTTTCTTCTTCTAGAGATTTATTCTCCCCTTGCAAATTACATACACCAGTGAGACTCAGGAGTGTTTACTAAACCATTCATAGGCTGGGTTCTGTCTCTCATATATTCCAAACAATCCTCGTTTTCACACCTGCAGAAACTCAACCAGACACAAGGGGGCGCCCAAGTCATTCACTAGGCTCTTTTAGTCCTGGGTGGGTGGAGAGAGGTTTGAGTGAGATTCCTAAGGTGCTGGAGAAACTGTAACCAGGAGGTATCAGGAACTCCTGATCCACCTGCAGACTCAGATCTACCACCTGCTCCTCTAGTCCAAGGCGTGTCTTCCTTTTCTGTCCTGGAGACATGGAATGCTGCAGGAGGCAGGGAGGGCCCTGGAACTCCCAGTTTGGATTTAAGAGAAATAGATGTCTCTGGCCTCTTGGGCAAGGGTGGCTTTGGATTTCTGGAGAAGGTGAACATGTCTCTACTCCACTGACCTCACACATAGGGACATTGACTAATAAAATGTTCATTAAGGGGAGTTCCTGGGAATAATTTAAGAGACTGCAGTCCTTTCCAAGATTCATTATAAGAAAGGAAGTAAGTATTTTTAAGAATTCCAATAATTCTTAGCGCTCAGACCACACTGGAGGAACTGGGTGATGGAAATTCAGAATTGATTTGCAGGAAACCTGGGCATTTTCCACTTCAGCCCCAGAGGAACTAGTGAAGGATGTGCAGTTTGTTCAGAATCTGTCTTTCCTGTCTCTACCTGGGGTTGGGCTGTCGGAGCTACAGCTTGATTTATTGAGCTAAACAAGTCAGCAACTAATTTGTTCATTCATGGCTGTCCTTTGAGAAGTGGTGCTGGGGATAAAGATGAAGATCATTGAAAAACAAGTCAGTTTCAACGGGCAGGACCTCGCAAAGTAGGTCACCCTGGCTTTCCACTGGGCCTAGGGAGGCTGGAATCCCATTAACCTCAATCGAGTAGGCTCTGGGAGGAGGGGTAGGGCTG